GTGATTTTTGGCTCTAACACACTTTCTGGATTCTATTTTCACCTGGTGCAGAATAGGATCAGCATACACCCCTGCCTGCTGGAGTCAGGAATAGGACCCTCCCAACCTTATAGCCCAACAATTTGGGGACTACCATACTTGCCCAGGGAACAAGAGACCTAGGCTGTAGGCCCCTTTCATACTGAGGATATTTAAATCAGCATCTCCTGCTTCCCAAAGTGATCTAGCCACCAGGCCAGAGGCTAGGCACTACCCAGTCTGCCCTCAGGGCCCGACCCTAATGAGGCAGTGCTCCTTATCCATGGGATTTTAAATGCAAGGTGCAGTGGTCCAGCTTCTAGAGCGAGCCTGCACAGTTCTGGGAAGCAAGAGACATGGGTTCAAACCTACTCTGAGTGGGAGAGGTCTAGAACCATCCTTTATTGGACCACTGGGATAAGTGCCTTAATGACTAGGGCACTGGGCTGAAAAACTGAGAAGCCTCTTCCTCTAGCAACAGACACTCAGTATTGGCGTTTTTTCTACAATGGTGCATTGATAGTAATCAAAGGTGAAACAGGATTTATTCCAATGTAATTCACAATGTATACATCTGGCAGTTCTCCGACTAACCCACAAGGTGTTACAAAAAAACTGCCAAGATACTGTTTCTTTAAAATCAGTACCAAATAGGAGTTGTGACTAGAAAAGATTCAAGTTAGAAGCTCTGCAATGCAGGAAACAGAAAACCTTTACTAATATTATCATTTTCTTTCTTCTGCTCTAATTTCTTAGCGAGTGCTGGACTAAATAGACTCCTGTGATTCTTCATCATTAGCGCACGTCATGTCATATAAGAATCTCTACCCCTGTGAATAATGTCTTTGTTGTAATTCAGAGAGAACAAGAGAACTGATGAACTGATTAATGGTTGCTTTGATTAGGCACTCATTGTTTTCCTGCTTGTTCAACAAGGGGAAAAGAAGGAAAACAAAAAAACCACACACTCCATTCTCTGCTCTCTCCAGTTAGCTTCTCTAAAGTCACATAAATGCTATATTGCAGTCCTCTCCCTTTCAAAGGCAAACTCTGTCAGGTGCAAATGTCTTAACATTACTGGTAGCGTTGGAGTGATGTTGTAGCCATTATGATGCAGGAAATATGCAAGAGGCAAGAAATTGTTTGATGGGAATGTATCCTTTCCTGGACCTACTACATGGTTAAGAGATTTTAGACAAAGTGTTGAGCACAAAGTACCAGTGGCAGATGTAACCTTTGTGCCCCCAAAATTGTCTAAAAATCTTTCTAACCATGCAGTTGATCCAATAAGAGATATCTAATTTTTTAACCAAGACAAAATCTCCATACATGTCAACATGTCAACTGACAAGTAAAAAAACAATATAATCATACTGATACCACTATACAATTATCCTACCAAAAAATGTCAATTGTTTTCATGGAAAATATTTTTAAAGTGGTTTTCAAATGCTCTCATGAAAATATTTTGGTTTTTCTATTAGAAAAAACTGGAGAAAAATATGACAAAAATGAAAATTGTGAACAAAATATTCATTTGGAATATTTTGTTTTTGTAAAAATAAGAAGTTTTATTTTTAAAAAGGCAACTAGTTCTCAGGTCCTTTAAGCTATCCTGTAATAATCATTTATATGGTCCACTGTTTATCATATTCCAATTGCTCATTTTGGATACTTCCTTCACAAGCCTTGATGGGATTCCTAGATAATGACTGATCCCAATGGGATCTCATGCACTGGTTTCATTTAAATCAGTTTTTAAACCTGTACAGACCCCTTGACAACAACTACTTCAGTGCAAGAAAAAATGCCTTATTTTATTTTAGCTTAACTGAGTCCTAATTGATTTAAACTAAGCTAAAGCAATCCTAGTTTGATTTTGGTAGTAGTTACAAAAGATTTTGTTGAAACCGTTTCACTAAGTTTATTTAAAATCCTTCATTACATTAAACCAGTGCAACTTTCTCATGGAAGCATGCCATTGGTTGTCAATTCATCATCTCCCTCTGATCCTTACTTCAGAAGAAGGTACAAGTGGTGATGCCGAGTGCAAAGGGATTTCTCTGAAGAACAAAATGTTTTGAGATTCAGATATGCCAAAACAATCAATCTCCTAAACTCCACTCACTGGAATTGCACAAGAATTGCTAGTCCTTTGTCAGCAAAGTTTGTGGTTCACTTATAAAATTAAGGATATAACCTTTGCCCTCCCGTTAGCACTGCAAATCCAGCACAATTCTTCAAGCCAGAGCAGGAGCGCACTCTGATTCACACATCTTCGACAGGTTTTTTAACTGAATCTTAAATGCACGACCAAACTCTGTTTGGAACCAAGAACACTTGTGCAATGTGCAGTGTGGCACACAAAGTCTTTAACACAGGCAAAGAAGCATAACAAAACAAAACAAATCAAAAAACAAAAACAAAGCAAACAAACAAACCACTTCTACCGTTCCAAATCCCAGACAATATATATCAAATTCCACAGTGTGATTATCTTCCTGGACCAGGACAAATTTAAAACCCAACAGCCATTTTCAGAGTAGAATAGCACTACTTGGCATCTCCATTAATTCAGTTTACATCACATACAAATGAAGTACCCATACACTTACCAAATGTCCTTTGAGAAAAGAATAACACAAACAAAAAAAAACAGAATCTTGTATATATTTTGCAGGCACACATTAGGAGATCTATGCTAGAGCAACTATAAATGCACAATGCGATTTTCCAGCCCAGCAACCACAGCTAAATACCTCCACTTAAATCTCAGCAGCTCAGCAAATATCACAATCTTACTCCTGTTATCCAGTCATTTCTCTTTAGAATTTCACATTTGTACTGAACCTTTGGTTTGCTGTTTAAATAAGGATGGAATAAGACATGAGTTAGGACTGCTGGATTTGAACCCTAGCTAACATTCAAAACCATTATTATTTTTTGGTTTCTTATCCAGTAAATAACATGGCATAGTATCATATCTGACAGTATTTCTGATATTTTTGTAAAGGAAAAATTTTTGGCTTGGCAAGCATGTCATTCAGAACCCTATTCTTCCAATCAATAAGACAACTGCTGACTTAATTGGGGTTTGGATCTGGCCCTAATTCCATCAGTTTTCATCACCACCATGCAAAGATTTGGGAGAAGTCTCTCCAGTTCTGTTTATTCAGCTTGTGTCACAACAGCTTGAGAAAGCAACTCTGCTACCTTCCCACTGAGCAAACAGCAAACTGAATATAAGCATCCACATGGAATGAAGAGGAAGGGAAAATTAAATAAATAGAAAATGTTCTGCCACAAAGATTAAGATTTGTCCAATCCTTGGGGCATTGAAAGCTGGTTCAGCAAAAAGACAGCTTTAGTAGTATCTAAGTATTCTGCACCAGCTGCATACCAGCCAGAGGAAAATGTCTTCCAGATTACTCTGGTCCTTTGTCTTTTCTTCCAAAAAAAAAACAAAAAACCCAATGGATTTTCCAAAGCATACTCAGATGAGATCAACTGAAGTCAAGAAAACCTCAGGAACTCTTGTGACTCTTCTGCTTATAAGGGAGATTTGAAGTACAGCAATAACTGATGCCATTATTCTTACAATCTGCAATATACTGGGCTCCAGAGCTGTGCCTGTCGTAAACATTTGGACTAAGTACAGGCAGTCAAAAAGCCTGAGGCTGAAAGGATTCAATCTTCACAGGTTTCTCTAAGCTGCATAGACTGAACCTACAATAAAGTGAACTAATGTTCAGGTTTAAACCCAGAGGCAGCCACAGGCTTGCAGTGGCTGAGGCCAAAAACCAGGAGGAGCTAGAAAAGTGTTTCTCAAGCCATGGGTCACAACCCAAAAGTGGGTCGCAAGAATAGTTGAAAGGATCATGAGGGAGTCCAAGAAAAATGTGGGAAACCACAGGTTTCCCCTTGCAGGCTGCGAGTCTGCAAGGAGCTGTTTGGGGCTGGGAGGAGCAGGGGGAGGGTGATTGGAGGCAGGGCGCACACACACAGGCAGCATGCAGCCAGGCAGGGTCATGAGAGCAGCCCCAGCAGCTGGATGCAGGTAAGTGTGAGGTCCCAGACGTATGTGTGTATGCGTGTGCACGAATGTGGCAACTGGGAAATGCTGCTTGGTGGGGTGGGAAGGGGCTGTGACCAGGCTTGCTGGGACAGCATGGGAGCCCCAGCCCAGGGCAGGGGGGGTACCACAGGCCTCCTGACCTCCTCCCTCGAGCCTGTGCCATGGCTGGACTTGCTCTGCTGCAGCCACCACTCTCTGGCCTGAGCAGGACAGGGGCAGCTGGGGGCCCCCTCCAGCAGGGCGGGAGGGAGAGGGCAGGGGGCAGGTTAGGAGTGAGGGGCATCAGCATGGCCCAAAGATGCAAAGGACTGTGGCTTAGGAATGAGAGCACAGGCAAGGCCAGGGGGCTGTGAGTGAGGACATGCAGAGACAGGGCTAGGCTCTCATCAGACTGCATGGAGGGCTGGGAGGAACCCCTACTTAGGCACTATGGGGATCTGGGCTAGCTCTGGCCTGGTGGCTCACCTCCCCCATACCTGTGCTTCAGTGACTTGCACAGGCCTGGGGCAGGGGAGCCTTTGCACACCAGGGCTCAGGGCTGGGGCTGTGGAAGGGGCTCTATTCCCCCACTTCCCTAGCTGGGCACAGGCAGGACCACGGCTACAGAACAGAGGCTTTTCTGTCTCAGCTCTATGACAGCCCGGGGGTGGGGCCAGCCCTGTTCAGCTGGGCCAAGACTAGCCTACCCACCCTGAGAGGGGGATTTGCAGAGAAGGTGCACAGCATCCTGGGATGCTAGGGAACTGAGAGTTAACTTGAGTCAGGAGGGGACCCGGGACAGAAGTTTGATAGACTAGTTTAACCTAAGTCAGTTAAGTCTAATACTACATTCATCCAGATCTATCTTAATTCAGTTTCTACCATTTTGAAATCAGTTTACATGCACTGAACATCTGTTCTGTTACAGGTTTAAACCAGTTTCTGATCACTTAAACTGGTTTGTGTCTAATGTCCTTCCCTAGCCTTGATGTCTGCACAAGCAAGTTCCTGAAGAATCCAGGTACTAGGGACAAGTCTGAACCAAGCACTGTTATTAAGCTTATCACATGAGCATTTATTCCAAAACCTGCAACACTGAAGGAGGATACATATCTGCTTGTGTATTTCACATGTTACTAAAACACAAATACAAGAGTCTACAGTAAGGAAACTCAAAGACTATATTTTTTCCCCTACAGAAAAATCAAGTCTGTTCATTACATCCAGTAAATGCTAAATTGATAAAAGTTACTCAGTCTTGACACTTGCATCCATTTTCTAACTTTCACCCAACCTGTAACTTACACCCCCATTCATGTCATCACCAAACTTGACCTTCAATTTTAGTCTCAGCTCTGGAGCTCAATCCTTTTGTGGCTTCCAGTCAGACTGCTCATGCTATTAAAGCATATTTTTTGTGGTTTACAAATCAATATAACATGGAACCTTCAGATTGCAGGCTCTCACTAAAGAAATGACCATATTCTCTGCCTGGGAGCTCACTCAGTTTCTATTGAAGTCAATAGGAGCCACATGCAACCATGCACATATGACTTTAAAAGTAAATACTTGATCATTGCTGAGATCAAAACAATAAAACTGGCTTGAATTTGTCATACATCTGCTTCTGTGAGTGTAAACTTGGAAATAAGTGCAAGATAAAATAGCATCTAGTTGAATAATGCTTACTGTAACAGCAGTAACAAAACCTCCATTGTGATTTCAGTCTGACTACCATTCTTCTAGTCAAGTGCAAACGTCTTTGAAGATTTCAGGGTTTTCTTGTTTCAGGTACCTTAAATCCTTAACTATTCTACTGCATGTTAATAAAGTTTGATTTCTTGTTTGTTTGTTTCTCATTCTTCGGTTGCTAAAGGAAACATATTAGGGTGTTTGTTATTTTTCACTGTTTTGTAGAAGACCTTAATTTCCTTTAACATCAGCTCCTTTGCCTTTCAGTCAGTTAGACAAGTGCACTGTTTAATTCCTATCATCATTTTCTCAACTATCTCCATAGTTTCTGGAGTGTCTTAGGATGTGAAACAACATTAAAAAATTATAAAACTAGTAGTTACTAAGAGGATGTTCCTTTCTCCTGTGAGCAAGAAATTATTATATTTTTTGTATTCACTGCAATCATATAAGAAATGGTACAGAAAAACTGTAATTAAAAAAAGTAGCAGCAACATAACAAGTATATACAATAGCAAAGGAGTACTTTGAGTGTCTGTTATTGAACAAGGACTAATTTCTGAAATCAGTGGGAGTTGACTGCAGGTTTCCAAGGGTAGAAGTGGTCTTATATAAATAGACAGCTCAATCATTAAACTTACACATACCTTTTTGGGGCTGTTTCTCCTTATAGTGAGGAGCAATAAAGAGGCCTTAACACAATAAGATTCTGAATGTAGGCATAAGGTATTGGAAAGAACACTTATTTTGGAGTGCATGTATTTTGATGGGCTAGACAAGGAGAGATTGTTCACCTTGATTTTTACCCTTACATTTCTTTTATGGAAGTGCATTGTGCTGCCACTTTCTTTATTCTGCCAGTTTTTGATTTTCACATCACTGTCTCTTCCACCCCTGCTATCCACACAACAGGAGGGCTTGGTCCTTTCAGCGCTTCCAACATCTTCTTTCGATCTTATGAATGATGCTGCATTGAAAAGCTTAGAGTGAACCAAAATTTTAGCAACACCAACAGAATGATATTAACAACAAACATACACGCTTCCCACTTGACAGTTTCCTAAAAGGAAAGGAGTTCGGTGCACAGGTGGTATTCTCTTCCATCCTACCAGTGAACGGACGCAGAAGACGGCATGAGAACTGCATCAGAGAGACCAACTGGCGGCTTTGGCAGTGGTGTCTAGAGGCAGGCTTCGGCTTCCTGGACAACGACCCGCACATTACGACGAGGGACATGCTCAGTTGGGATGGGCTTCACCTGTCCCTCAAAGGTAAGCGTGTGTTTTCTTCTAGGTTGGCGGATCTCCTCCGGTGGGCTTTAAACTAGGCTCGTCGGGAGGAGGTGAAGATGAGGGCGGGGGAAGCTGTGGACCACCAAACCATGTGGCACCCACAAGGACAGCCCAGCCTGAAGAAAGAGAGCATTGGGAACCTGAAAGCCATGGGGAGGCCAGCACTACGACACAGGTAAGAAACGAGAAGGTAAGAAACAAAGGGCCCCTTGGGACTCGGAGCGGGGGGGCAGCAAAGGCACCAGTCGCAGGGCTCAAGTGCCTATATACTAATGCTAGGAGCATGGGAAACAAGCAGGATGAACTAGCGCTCCTGCTTGCACAAAACACCTATGACTTAGTAGGGCTAACGGAAACCTGGTGGGATTCGTCCCACGACTGGGCGGTACATATTGAGGGTTACAGATTGTACAGAAAGGACAGGGTGGGGAAAAAAGGGGGAAGGGTTGTGCTGTATGTCAATGAGCAATATACATCAACCCTCATCAAGACGGAATCGAAGGATGAGGAAGTAGAAGGATTGTGGGTTAGGCTACATGGGGGGCAAGGAGAAAGGGATTTGGTGCTAGGGGTCTGCTACAGACCCCCACACCAAGGGGAAGAAATAGATTCGGGGCTCCTGAGGCAGCTCTCGGAGACCATAAAAGCTAAA